ATAAATAAGGAATTTTAGGGGACAGTTCCTTTTCCCATATATAACTTTATCAGAAAGGATAGATTAATTAACCAATGATTTTCACTGGGCTACAGAAGGGGATGATGGACTCATCCATTTAATAGCCATGAACCTGCGAGCCATAAACTATGTTTCTTGCAGGAATATTCTAGTATAGTGTGGCCAAATTTGTTTATCTGGCATACCAAATGAAAAAATGTCAGGTGTACTTGCTACCCGAAGTGAGAAATAATTTGATAACCCCAACTGAGGTGCACTAAATCTGCCTAGGGTTTGTTAAATTGTATACATCTGTGGGTGGGCATATGTCCCATTTTGTACAGTCAAACAAGAGATACCTATGTTTGGTATATAACATTCAATCTACGTAATCTATTATTAACCGTTGATGAAAACCGCATATGAGGGGAGCAAATATCGTCCTGTTACTTCTAGGCAAAGTAAGTAGTAGGGTTTGCCATTTAGTCTTTTTTCTTTATTCTTTATTTATACATCAGCAGATTTACACACATATAGGAATCAGGCTGTAAAACAAGATGTTTATTACATTTCTACCAAGACGTTTTGAAATACATATCATACAATAACCAAGTAGATACTGCCCTTTAGTTTTAATTGTCAGTGGATTTTGGCCAGTTTGGTGTGTTACAGGTGGGAATAGAAAGTGGATATTAACACTCTGGTACCTTGCTACTTTAACACTGCTATTCGTGCATATTTAAAGATGGGTTAATTGGTTCCTGCAAGCCATAGTGTAGTTGTAGGAATCTATAGTAGAAACTATAGGAGAAATCGTTTCTTGTAATTGAATGAAATGAGTACATTGTTGCCTCCTGTAAATGTCCACAAGAGTTACAATACAATGGGATTTTCATAGTGCAGTATCTAGAATCGCAGTACGTTGTGCTAATATAGGGTTGTCCCATAATATATAGCGTTCAGTTGTGCACAAAAAAAAAGCTGTTAAATGGAGAATTGGTACATATTGAAATAATTTCTTTACTCTGCAGAATGTCATTTTCTTCTAATCTTAATCACTATGGAATGGTCCATGTTGCCAGTGTCAGTGATGTCCTCTTGGATACCTCATTCACTCCTCCATGTCAAAGAATGGGTGGAATGGTTGCCTTCCGGACTTTTGATGATTTTGTCAGGTATTTGTTGCTTGTGGAAAATTTTCTGATTCACTGTACCTTTCATGTTCTAAAACGATGATGTAGGGCAATCATTCTTAATACAGACATAGCTTATATACATGCTGTATGTTTCTAGTTTGGCTGGGTGAAAATAATTTTAAAATCAGTGGAAGAAAACTTTTGTATTATATATGATCTTTCTGATGTATATTCCGTTTAAAAATTTATAATTATAAACTTTAATAATTGTATGCTACTTTAACACCTTCCTGCCCGGCCTATAGCAGAAAAATCCTGATCGACCGGTTTCATTCAGTAACAATGATTGCAAATATCAATGAAATACATTGGTATTAGCAATCATAGTGTGTTAAAAAAAAAAAAATCCAGATCACTTGCCAAGAGTAGTTCAATGTTACTATGGTAACATTGCATTGCTTTGGTCACGTGTGCGGAAAAATAAAATAGTAAAAAAAAGAAAAAATGTAATAAAAAATAATAGAAACATTTGAAAAAAAATACAAATTCAATTATTATTATTATTATTTTCACCAAACATTTGAAAAAAAACTACAAATTCAATTATTATTATTATTTTCACCAATGAAATGTAGCAGAATACATTTTGACCTAAATTTATAAAGAAATGTTATTTATTTGCAAAATTGTATAACAGAAACGAAGAAAAGTGCGGGTTTTTTTTTTTCAAAAGTTTCAGGTTTTTTTTGTTTTATTTAGCAAAAAAAAAAAAATATAAAACTTAGTCGTGATTAAATACCACCAAAAGAAAGCTCTATTTGTGTGAAAAAAAATGATAAAACTTTCAAATGGGTACAGTGTTGCTTGACTGCGCAATTGTCATTCAAAGTGCGACAGCGCTGAAAGCTGAAAATTGGCCTGGGCAGGAAGGGGGTATAAGTGCCTAGTATTGAAGTGGTTAAAACATCAGGTTTGAACAAACCAGAAGCGCAGCAGTTAGCACCGTTGACCGTAGTAGGCTCAGTTCTGACATGACCGTATCTGCATGGAAACTCAACCCTAAGGTTCCTCTGGATAATTCCCATGTGTGTACTGTGTAAAGCTCTGAAGAATATGTCATTGCTGCATAGATACGGAACAAAATTAGTTTTGACCAATAGGAAAACTTTATGTGCTTTGTCGTTGCTTTAAAATTGGAACACTGTGGTCTGTTGTTAAGCTTTCAAAAGGGTGCTGCTAATGTTCTCCATCTCCGCTGTTTCTGCATGACTCCCCACTTGCATTTCGACAGTGGGAGCTGGTGCCTGTTATGGGAGCGGGAATATAGGAATCTGCTTGCACAGTAAGGAATGAAATGTCAGGAAGAATTAGGCATAACTGCCGAATACAGCCCAGCAGGGACTGTCTTTTCCTGAATCAATGAGTGTGGCATCTGTCTTTCCATGTGTGCAGATGCACGACCCCTGGGAAGAGAGGCGATTACACAGCTCTCATTGCTCACGTCATAAGCTTTTCAGTTATTTGCCTAATAAAGGCTGATTAGATTAATGTAGCCTCTTTATTTTTATGAGAAGTTTGCTGCATGTCAGCTATGTGGAAGTGAGATGCTCTAGAAGCTTTAAAAGCTTTTCCTAAACCTTTCACGTGACATTGAGCAGGATTTATTGATTGATTGTGGGGAAGAAATAAAAATACTCTTTTCTACCTTTTCATATTTTTCTATCTTCTCTCAAAATTCCAGCCTTCTATTTAACTGTTAAAAATCTGATATAAATCTGATGATGTTTTTATTTATAGGATGTTTGATGATGTCATGAGTTGCTTCTCAGACTCCCCTCCTCAGAGTCCTATCTTTCCAGAAGCCGGTCATCCTTCTCTCTATGATGAAGATGACAACAAGGTATATATTTTTTAAACTTATTTTTTGAAAGTGGTGTGATCTGTTTTACATGTATATTTAAATCTGGCTTACTGTTTATTGGGATTAACCAGGTTGTATAAATTGAGCTTACCAGTCAGAATTACAAGTTAGTCTTGGAACGGACATAAGAGCAGAACATACCTTTTCAGGTCTTCTGTTTTTCAGTCTGGCCTAGCTGTAGTGCTCAAGTCTCAAGTCCATGGTGGGCACAGCCAAAGCAAGTGATAAGAATCTGTGCTCACCAAGAAAACATATGAGATGCATCTGGCTGCAAAAGCTTACATCCAACTCAGGTTAGGGTTAATTAAGTGAAATCCTAACTTTAGCATATCTGCTGTATTTTTTCAATTGTGTTCTCTGGTTGAGGTCTCTTGCCTAAAAATACCTAGATGAACTAGCCATAAGAGATATATACCAGGAAAGGAGAGAGGAAGCTCATGATGATATGGCAACTGCAATGCAATACATAGAATGTTCCCTTTGGGCATTTACTCTATTAACATGTTTTGGTATTTATCATTATTGATATCCATTATTTTATCTATTTGCTCCCCAGGCACCAGTACACATTCTTGTTTTATTATCCTTTCGCTGCTCTATTTTGACTTTGGCACGTTATTATTCTTTGTTATATATACACTTTTGATTAATATGCATCCTTTTCACTCACGTCACTTAATATGTTATTCATTTATATTATATGCTTGGTTTCATTGTGTTGCTAGAAGGGAGTCTGTCCTGTTGTCCTGTGGATTTTTGATAGGGCTTTATTCACATTATAATTAAAGCCTTCTGTGTACATCATTAGGAATTTTAGATGCTTTTAAAGTGACTTACTTTTTTTCCCCTATTTTTTTAGGGTTTTTTTTTCCTATAGTCAGTTTATGGGGTTCCTTTCTCCTACAGAGTTGCACATTAAGACTTTAGGCAGCTTTGCATAAATAACTGTAACACAGTACCGTTTAGACCTTCGTAGATTGTGACAGCATTCCTATCTGCAAAAACCCACCCACATAATTGCCTACTGCATTGAGTTGTACCAATAAACTGCATCAGATATAGTTTTATGTTAACAATTCTTTTTAGAAATGGAGAAAAAACTAATTTGGTTTTGTATACCTAATAGGGGACTTACTCCAACTCCTTGTTGAACAGAAGGGCAGCTTTACTTTATGGTGTTTGGTACAAAAGATAAAAGGTGTGGAGGCTGACATACTACAGGATTTGAGAATATTCACACAATAAATTGTGCAATCGTGTGAAAAAGAAAATAACAGTGATTTTCTTTCTACATCATTGGATAATTTAAGTGAACAATTTATTATATGAACGTTATCAACTCTTTTAGTAAACCAACCTAAAAAATGTAATCCTCTGTTTATATGGAAAGCCATTTGAGAGGAAATGGTTGGCTGTTTCCCTATGGAACTGTTATTCAGAGCTATCATTCAGAGACAGGTTTTCTATATTTCACCGCACTTATGCTTTTTCATTTCTAGTTAAATAAATTACATGTTTTTTTATTTGACTAGATCAAATGAGATCAATGTTGACACTCCAGATACTGTTGGAGTGTCCACTGGGTTTCAACTTCTCCTACACATTATTAGTGATCTAATGGTGCTGGAGTGGACCAGTTATATCTAAAGTAGAAGTATTGTAGTAGAATATCCAGGTCAGAATAAATGGTATGTATGTTTGCATAAATGGCTCATTTCAATTTTGGTGGTAAAGAGGTATTAACCCCTAAAACAAAAATGTATATATTGCAGCTTACCAGTCCTTAGTTATGGTGGCTGCTTTCGTTTTCATTTTTTTAGCTTTTTCTTTCCTTTATTTTACCCGATGATCCTTCCAGTAAGTCTTTTATTTTTCAGTCTTTCTTGTTTGTGTATTTTAAAAAATGTGATGTTTCTAAACATTAATGTAAGTGTTCTTTGTTCAGAGTATCCGAGATGAACCAATCCACATTCTTAACATAGCCATCAAAACTGACTGTGACACTGATGATGATGGACTTGCTTCAATGTTCCGTGAGTTCACCCAAAACAAAGTAAGTAGAATGAGCATGTCCATTTTATCAGAATAGAACATGTTATTGATATAACATTAATGCTTTTATACTTTGCATTTATTACTACAATGATTAAGTGCTTATTCACATGGGTATTCAGCCCTTTGTGCTGATCTGTGTGCAGGCAGCCTATATTAGTGAATGGACATGCAATGACTTTATGGACTCACTCACACAGGTGACTTTGACAGGTACACAGGGGTGGGTGCATGGAACCCAATGCAGAGCCTGTGCATCCAAGATCATGAACTCTTCTCTGCGTATCTGTCTATCTCCTAGATTGTAAGCTCTAACGAGCAGGGCCCTCTGTTTCCTCTTGTGCCAAATTGTATTGTAACTGTAATGTCTACCTTCATCTTGTAAAGCGCTGCGCAAACTGTTGGCGCTATATAAATTCTGTATTATATAATAATAATAACTGGGCTGTGTGAGTGAGTCGGTAGAGCTGATGTGTTCCCTTTCACTAATATGGGCTGCCTGCACACAGCTCAACTCTACACGACAGAATGGGTGTACCTGTGTGAACGAGCCTTTAAAGTGGAGCTCCAGCCAGGAGGGGAAGTTCCGCTTTAAGGCTTTGTTCCCCCCGCTCCTCCTTTAAGGATTGGCATCTTTAGGGAGCGGGTATCTGAATTTGACAGGTACCTGCTCCCACTTCTGATTCAATCGCCTAAGGTGATTGGTAGTGAAAGTTGTACCCCTCCCCAAAGTCTTCAGGGACATGTGACAAATTCTGGGACACGTGACAAGTCCCGGAAGACTACGGGACCATTCACAAAGCACAGTGCTGCTCACGCATGCGCAATAGGTAAATAGCTGTGAAGCCGCAAGCTGTCACAGCCGAGTGCCCACACTGAAGATGCCGGCATCAGGGAGAGAAGATGGCTGGTGAAACCATCTGTGGCGAGGACACTGCTGGGCCGAGGGACAGGTAAGTGTATGTAGAAGGTATTTTTTTTACCTTAATTCTCTGCATTTAGGTGAAAAAACCTTGTGTATCCAGCCCCCCCCCCCCCCCCCCCCCCCCCCAGGCCCCCTCAGTCACAGCCTGTGAGGAGAGAGTGCGAGGTGGGGCTGAGCCATGCTATCAGTGGACACACAGAGTTTTGCTTGGGATGGAGCCCACATGAGTACGCCCATAGCAACCGGCTTGCTATGGGTGCTCTCAGAAGGGGGAAGGAGCACTGGTGAGGGACCTGAGAAGAGAAGAATGGGGGCTGCTCTGTGCAAAACCATTACACAGAGCAGTTAAGTGTAACATGTTTGTTATTAAAAAACATTTCACCTATACAATCACTTTAAAGAAAAAAATGTGGTAACTGGAAAATACAAGACCTTGAATATTACTGTGTCAAATTGTGGTCATGGTAGACCAATTAAAAAAAACGTTCTGAGCAGTTGCAATGATAGACAATTAAGTATTTAGGAACAAAAATACCTTCAGACTTTCTTTCTCATGTTCTTTGAATTTTAAGCTACACAACCGATAAAGTTTTGCCATTTTAAACAAACCACTTTCTTTAGCATTCATCAAAGGACATAGGAATTCAATGACTGCCACATACAGTAGGATTTGGACATTGCAAGCCTGGTATACTCCCTCCTACTCTTAGCATGCACCCAGTTCATCTGCAAACCATGGGCTTCTAAGCCCCCCCGGATCCATAGAACTGTTAGCTTTTGTGAACATCTGGGCTAGCTAACCTCTCAAGTGCTTGGGTTCAGGTAGTTAATTCCAGGGGCAAGAAGCTAGAATTCCACTCTCATCCTCCCTCTTCAATTCATATCTTCTAACCCAGTGTTTCTCAACCTTTTTCCAGTCAGGACACCCTTGAAAAGCATTTTTAGTCTCGAGGCACACCACACGCACATACAAACACATGTACACACGCACACACCCCTCTATAAAAAGTTGCAGTACAGTACCTGCCCTCACACACCGGGTACTGCACTCTACGGGGAGGCAGAGAGCACAACACACCTTTCACTTTGCTGAGTACAACTGAGCTCCCTTTTTGCCAAAGTACAGTTTGTCTGGGGATTGGGATCTCAAGCTCATCTGACACCTTTTGCAACAGCACCCCGATTGAGAGAGGCTGTTCTAACCTACCTGTGTCACTACACAGAATGCCAGATCTCCATGTAGCCCTTGTGGGTCTTCTGGAGAAAGAGAGATCATCATCCTAGCACATGGGTGTCAAACTTGTGGCCCTCCAGCCATTGCAAAACTACAAGCCCCATAAGGCATTGCAAGATTGACAGTTACAAGCATGACTCCCAAAGGCAGAGGCATGATGGGACTTGTAGTTTTGCAACAGCTGGAGGGCTGTCAGTTTGACACCCCTGCCCTAGCACCATTGGCGGAACTATTCCAGGGGTTCTACTCCACCCTGTTAACTGCTTGCAAGTCAAAAGGGTGCCAGAAGGCTATAGCTGGCGGTGTTGATCGAGCAGAAACTTTCCAACAGGGCAGTTGTACAGAAGTTCGTTGGTAGAACAACTTCTGTAAAACCACCCTTCCCATACATGGATTGAAATTGAGCTGGTCCCTGCTGAACCAACCCCATTTTGATCCATGTATGCCTGGCTTAGGTGTACCTTTTTCAAATAAAGAAAAAAAAAGTCACGTTTTTATTGTATTTTGGACTTGCAGTGCACACTGTTCCACTTGTGCCAAATATAAGTATTGTTATGGGTATACTAAATCATCCACTGATATCTGGTACATAAGAAATTTTCTGCCAGAACCTTGTGCATGATTCAGTCCATCAGTACCTATCAACAACTAAAATATCTACAGTATGTCAGATGAACTGGCCTACGTTATATTTATCGTTTAAATCGATAATAAACGCTTGCTCACTTGTACCTACAAGTATGATTTTAATAAAAGTTAGCTGTAGGTACAAGGAATCTCCTAAACATGCATCATCTAGGAAATATTCACTACTTCTGCAGCTGGTGACATCACCAGCCCATGTACAATGTGCTCTGAAAGGACGCTATGCTGTCCCTTTAGAGCACTGTTCTGTGCCTGTGGCTCCCATATGCATGTGTTTGGAGTGATGTTGTCACAGCTCAGCCGTTCAAATGGCCGAAGTCAGCAAACCTGCAAGGAAGACCCGGTGAAGATGGAAGCCCTGTTAACGGTGATGGTACACCACTGGAGGGATTTGTTTTAAGGTAAGTCTCTCATAATGTGCTAGTATATGATGCATACTAGCAAATTTTGACATTACTTGCAGGGGGAAAGTTTTTCCCTTTTTGAAATTGTACTACCACTTTACCTAGTGCCCTATTATTTCAATGTAATAGAATAATACAGATTAAATTGGCAGAATAAATATTGCATCTACAGTCACAATCAAACTAATTAAATATAGTCATTATTCTTTTTTTTTTATTTGTAAGCAGAATACTAAAATTCCTGCTGTTTTTTTTCACCTGTACTTTAAAAAAGGCCTGCTGCTTCTTCCCGTATTGCTCAAACTTGGGCTTATTCACAAGCATTCCATTTCCCTAGCTTGGTGGAGAGGGGGGAGGGAGAATCCGTATTTATTTTTTAAAAACAAACAGAAGCGGAAAAAGATAGTTTTGATTTTCATCTGTATCAAGCCTCAGGCAGTGGGAGGAAAAAAAAAAACATTTAAGCATCTACTAGAATAATCCCAATTGTCCAAATAATATCTCAGCCCCAGCATGTTTATAGAAATTAGGATCATATACTTGTAAATGACTTGCAGAGGAGATGGAAGCAGTCAGCGTTAATGGAGTTTTTCCAGGTGCTGCTGCCTAATCGCCTGGTTATAACTGTAGACTGACTGAGAAACCCACATTATTACAATGTAATCAGAATCCTGTTGCTATGCTGTCATTATATGCCACTTGTGGAATTTTAAAAGCAATAACAATTTTGATGTTAAAACTCAGGGTATTACAGTTATTTTCTCTCCCGGACAGTAATATTATTGCCAAAGCTTGCTATATATTTTTTTCTTCCTAATTGCAATCCATTTTTTGCACATTTTTTTTTGCTTCTGAAGTAGGCACTGAATTGCACTTTCAGCTCTAGTGATTTTAAGAACTATGAAACACAATAAGTGGCAAGACAGTCATGATTACTTATATTTCCCGTAGGGCTCTCTTGGGCACATTTCTAGGAATAGGACTCAAAGATACTGCACTAGAGCACTAATTGTGTAATGGATCTGATTGTATTTATGTTATGCTCTCAGACCAGTACCATTTGATTGGCAGAAACACAGTGTGGTCATTGTTTATATGGCCAGCTAACTGGTGACCAATGGATCAGGCATACCCTGATTTTTTTCCTCATCTTCAATTGATCCCTATTGTTATCATAAGGAAGCTGGTCCTAATAATGTTAGTGGTATGAAAAATATGCTGCGCTATTTCAGATAACAATATGAACATGAATAAATGACCAAATACAAAATGACATGACAAATTATCACAAAATCACAAATAAAAAAAGTCCCAATGTGAAAAAATAACACAAGTGTCCAGAAACAAGAAGTGAGAAAATGTAGCCACATCCGAAAGTAAACTGGCTGAAGAAAAGGTATCCTGAGGTAATTAGAAAGGATCTCCACCAAATAACACCATGCAGGCTTTCCAGATAACCATGACTCTCTGGTTAAAGTCATAGAGTGCTTTAGTATAGTAGCACAGCACAGTGGCTAAATAGTTAGCACTTCCATCTGGCAGTACTAGGGTTGTTGGTTTGAATCCCAACCATGCCACCACCTGCCTGGAGTTTGCATATTCTCCCTGTGCCTGCGTGGGTTTCCTCCAGGTACTCCGGTTTCCTCCCACACTCCAAAGACATGCTGGAAGCTTAATTGGATCCTGTCTAAATTATCCCTAATATGTGTATGTATGAATGTGTTAGGGACCTTAGACTGTATGCCCCTTGAGGGTTAGGGACTCATGTGAATGTACAATATATATGTAAAAGC